CAAAACCGATAGAGAACAGAGGAGGATGCGTATTTTTAGGCCTGCTTGAGGACTCCTGAGAAGAAAGCAAGAGGCTTAAAGGAATGCAGAGTTCAGAGAGAGGAAATTGAGTTTTGAGGGCAATGATGAAATGTGTTGATTGATGGGCCGCTTACCCTCTCTCCGATTGGCTTTGTCGTGGGGGGAGGTGATTGGCCACTTGACCTCTTAGTGATCAATATGAACTCTTCCCTATCTCTCTCAGAACAAATGTGTGGGGGCCCATTGTGTCCCTGTGCTCCTGATAACAGGCTTTGTCTTCTTTTAGTACCAGGAACACAAGCTCTGCCTTGCTGTCTACTGCCTACATATGAGGTTGCCTACTAAGGTAGCATCTTAACCCAAATGAAAGTGGCATAATTGGAGCACTCTACATAGTCAGCAAGTCCATGTGCCACACAAATAAAGCTTTGTAGGAGATTTAACTCAGCTATTGATTCCAATCAGCTTGTTAAGTCATGACTTAAGGAACATGTTTCCGGGTCCAAGTCTCTACTCTTTTTAATCGAGAATACTATCTCAGCAGCCATTTATGAGCCCTGTATGAGAAACATAGACAAATGACGTCAGACTTAACAAGCAGACTCTGGTGTTAGCATGTTGCTAAGATAGCAATACAATCGAATGAACCTACAGATCACACAAAAATAATGGGTAATATAGTCCGTTTTTACATTTTATTTGAACAATTTTTAGCAATACTTTCTAGCAAGTTAGTAACCAAGTAGTCAATCTTTTATGATTTTTTTAAAGAAGCCTCTTATGCTCATCAATGGTGCATTTATTCATTTATTTGATCAAATACAGTAAAAACAGTAATACTGTGAAATATTATTACAATTTGAAATGACTGTTTTCAATTTTAATACAATTTGATGCATTTTTTAATACATAATATAGACCTCAAACCTTTGAAATGGTAGTGTATATCATTATCAACATATCCAGTGAATGGGAAAGATTAGATCACGGAGGAAAATTCCCATTCTTGTTAAAAGATTCATCTGAGGAGACACGTTCTACGGGAAAATTTGACACACAGAGCAATTCCGATTCGGTCTTCTTTTCTACTTCAGACCGGTATCTATCTCTCCCTCATTTCCTGTGGTTGGGAAATGTGGGAGAAGAATGTATGTTTTCATGACCTGAATATCATGTGCATGAGTGTGTTTACATGGACGTGTGAGCATTCTCATCCATCATTTCAGACTCCTTATCCTCCATATCCCAGCGCACATCCCTCCACTTCCTGTTATTTGCCTCTCCTAATGCCACCGTCCCTGGGTTTCTGTTTGATTTTTATTTTTAGCCAGTGCCGTCCTCATGCATTTTGGCAGGGCAGATACTCTAGGGCTCATCGGGACCAGGCAGGGAGGTTATGGAGCTGAAGGGGAAGTTCCTTTTTGCCCAAAGTAAACTGACTCACCTCAGGGGCAGCTGCTGCCTGTGGTCTGAACCTGACCATAATGAGCACGGCTAGTCAGGAGGTCACTGTATTAAAAGGCCTATCTGACAGGACATGTTAGTGCTCAGAAGCCTCCTGGAACATCACCAGCTTTCATTTTATTAGTTTGCGCCAGGACACGGTGGTTTTTACAGACCTGGGTGGCCTGTGTGTTTGTGGGAAACATTACATCTCCATTGCTTTTGATGGTCAAAATGACAGAATTAAGAGTTGTATGGAGGCCCATGGGCATCACATGGTGTATGTGTGTGTGCGCGTGTGTGTGTGTGTGTGTGTACTTCTGTCAGGTACACAGGCTTCTTTCTACAGCTGTGATGTCACTCTGGATAGAATCAGGTCAGTCAGTTCCTCCAAGGAACCGAATAGAACACAGCGAAACAGAGAGAAAGAAAAAGAGAGGCTTTGCCAGCGATTGAGAAACTGATAAAAGAAAAAGCTAATTCGCAGAAAGCCCTTGATGAAAATAGAAAGTTGCACCCTTTCCGTCAGAAGAATAGAGGCGTGAGGTTATAAAGCAAGTGTGCTTAACAAATGCCTCGTTTATAATGGGTTTTAATGTTTTTGTCTCGTCGACAAATTCGTGTTGCATGCATCTTTCACAGAGAAGGCAATCCCAGAATGCCTTGTGAACTCAGTGGGAAATGCAATATGGCAGGCAAAGTGAGAATGGACTCCATGCATCACTTCCACATTTAGCCTCAATGGCTACCACAACTTATTAGTAACACATTGTGTTTTAATATAATATGCTTAAATGTTATGTTTACTACAGTTAATAATATATACAATATATTATATTATAGTAAAATATGATAAGTTGTGATTGACAGTTATTTTATTTGCTATAGGAGAACATAGGCTATTCCGGAAGCTCCCATTGTGCAAATTTTAGCGAAAATATGTGGCCTTGGCATGCATAGTCTGTTGTCAAATGTAAATATACTTAAAGTCAATTAATTAATGAAAATGGTCAAGAAAGAAGTTCAATTTTATTTGAAGAATTACTTTTACTCAAAACTTGTTTGTGCTTGGTATATTTATGCTTATGCTATCTCATTGTTAGCTTAGCAACATGCTAACACCAAACTCCGCTTGTGCACTTCATGTTAGAAGTTCTGTTTTATGTTGCTACCTACATAGAGCATTCCAAATCAATCTCTTATGAGGTTCCGTTTCAGTTAACATGCTACCGTAGAAGGTAACTGTCTAGGAAGACAGTAGACAGTGAGTAAGTTCACTAGATTTTGGAACGGATCCAGTGAGTTTCTGTATATATAAGCTGCTCATCGAGAAAATGAGAGGGAGGAAAAGAAAGAGAGGCACAGGGAGGATGTATTTGACACACACTTCACCACTGACACTCTAGCACACGTGGCTAACGCTAACCCTAAGACATTCTCCAGTCTGCTGCCTCTATTTGTCAATACACAGGAGGCTTTGACCATCTTAACTGCCGGTATGATATGTTCACCCTCCCTCTCACTCCGTTACCACAGCTTTGACCTAACAGGACTCACTCCCTCAAACAGCTGCACTTTACTGATGGCAAGAATTAATTATTTGTGGTGCTTGCTTGCTATCACATCATTTATATACTACAATTCAAAAGTTTAGGGTCAGTAGGGGTCAGAAATTAAAGAGAAAGAACACATTAAATTGATCAAAGGTGACAGTAAAGACATTTAGAATGTTACAAAAATGTTAATTTCAAATAAATGCTATTCTTTTCAAATTTTGAAAATTAAAGGGGTCATATGATGCGATTTCAAGTTTTCCTTTCTCTTTGGAGTGTTACAAGCTGATTGTGCATAGATAAGATCCCTGAAGTTGCAAAGACTAAAGTCTCAAAACCAAAGAGATATTCTTTATCAAAGTTAAGACTCTGCCACGCCCCCCTAAAACGGCTCGTTCTAACACGCCCCACATATCTACCTCACTATGTGGAAATATTAGCATAATGCCACCCAAATGTGCACGCAAAGAAAGAAAGCATGGTTTCAGTAACCGCAGTTAGTGTGTTTCTAGGCGAAAGCAAAAGCACTTTACTTGGCCTTCCGAAAGTAGATGCATTAAGATTATTTACAACAGAACAGCAATGCATTTTATGGACGACCGTTTCGTGAACCTAGGAGAGGAGGTAATTCTGACTTTGCTATGACAATCTGGCGCTTCTGAATCAGCTACTGTTTTGTTATTAGTTTAAGTATTTGCTATTGACTGTTCAAATGCGGAGTTTTACGCATCGTGTGTGTGTGTGTGTGCAAGTGAGCGAGAGAGAGAGAGCGAGACACATCACAGTGGAGTCAGCTGTCTTAACCGTGGCTTGTGTACTGCAAACACATACCAGCTTCATCACTGTGTCTGTCACGCGACTCTGTTCCCCTTTCGGGCTCTGTCTTTACATTTATTTTGAAAGATGAAGCTCGCGATTATGGTAAGGGGCGTTACATTTCCGACGAGTGCTTGCGGTGTTCGGCCAATCACAATGCACTGGGTCAGCTGGCCAATCAGAGCAGACTGCGCTTGTCGGAAGGAGGGACTTTGTAGAAAACAAAGCGTTTGAGAGAGGCGGGGCATAGAGGACCTACAATAATGTACAGTATTTGAAAAATAATGTGTTTTTTGAACATTAAAGCATGTCAACATATTCTGTTACACCAAATACACAAAATAATGATCATTAAAAAAGCATCATATGACCCCTTTAAAGAATCCTGAAAAGAATGTATCACAGTTTCCACAAAACTATTAAGCAGCTCAACTGTTTTTAACATTGACAAAAAATACTTCTTGAGCATCAGATCAGCATATTAGAAGGATTTATGTAGGGTCATGTGACACTGAAGACTGGAGTAATGATGCTGAAAATTCAGCTTTGCCATCACAGGAATACATTACAATTTAAAATATATTCAAATATATATATATATTTTTAATTATAGTAATATTTACATTTCATTTCAATTTGTTTTACTGTATTTTTGATTAAATAAACACAGCTTTGGTGAGCGAAAAAGACTTCTTTCAAACACATTAAAACATTTGACTAAATCTCTAAACTTTCCACACCATTTGCATGCTAAAAAATACAGTTCACCTTGTAAACACCCTAGCATTATGATGTCAAGTTTCATATGTTCAAGTACCACAGATCTAGAGATTGTTGTGAGGACTCTGGGTGTTTTTGTGAATAGGATATATCTGTCCACCCATCTTCCACCCTCAATACCACAACTGAGGTGAGACCCTTGAGCAAGTCACCGAACCCCCAACTGCTCACAGGGCGCCACAGCAAAAATGGCTTCCCACTGTGCCGTGTGTGTGTGTGTGTGTGTTCACTACTCACTGCTGTGTGTGCACTTGGATGGGATAAATGAAGAGCACAAAATCCGAGTATGAGATACCAGACTTGGCTACACGTCACGTCACTTTCATTAACAAAGCATTGTCTAAAGCCGTCTAAATACTAACTGTGTGTGTTTTCTCCTCCAAACAGGCAGGAGGCGCTGTTGGCAGCCATCAGCGAGAAGGACGCCAACATCGCTCTTCTAGAGCTGTCGTCCTCAAAAAAGAAGAAGACTCAAGATGAAGTGGCTCTGCTGAAGAGGGAGAAAGACCGGCTGGTACATCAGCTCAAACAGCAGGTGAGAACAACCAACAGGCTGGACGTCGACACCCCAGACCAAGGCACGAGGCAAAACCATAGACTAAAATGAACACAGACCTCAGCCCTCCTAGTTTCCTAGTGGAGTTTTGCAACCTCACCCACAGGAATTACATTGGTGAAGCTTAACCAGACATTCGTCAGCATAAAAAAAATAGTCCCACCTCAAAGGAACAATTTAGACTTTACAGCTCAAGTAACAAACATTTTTGTTTCACTGACGAATTGTGTTTTAACCCGAATAGGAGCCTCGCTTTTTTGCTTTTTAACTCCCTCACTCTCTTTCCCTCCAGGCTCTCATTGTGTTTTACTGTAAAAACAATTTGTGTTTTTACAGACTTAAGAGATGAGGCAAAATTATTGTGCGTCATAATTGAAAGCATGCCACAGATGCTGCCCACAGATGTTAAGTTGACAATAACCTGGAATATTCTCTTAAGAGGGGCGTGATTTCTCAGATATATAAGATCATACAGGATATCCTGATGGTGTGTTCATAGTATCAGTAACCAGCTGACCTTGCTGTCGTGGTTCTGTTTAGCTGTTCAAGGAAAGGGCTTAAGAACAAGTTCTGAAGGAGACATGTTGGGAACGACATCCCAAAGTTTGGAGATGCAAACAGGCTACAGATGTCTGGCCGCAGACCTGCCAAGAAGGGCAATTTTAGGATTATTTGACTCCTCCTCTAGGTTCCCACAAACCACCTGCAAATACATACACACTAGTTTAAGCACACAGACTACACTGAAAAAAAATGGTGTAGATACAGTTTTCACTCAGAAATTGCTAGCAAATTTCACAAATAATTACACTGTTAAAAGGTTTTGCATAGTTGTAAATAAAACAAAGATTATTGGAGTACGTTTTGCAAGAAAAAATTATTTCAGTCATTCTACTCCACTCAGTTTGTCATTTCTTTGTAATTATCTGTGAAATTTACTAGCAATCTATGAGTGAACGTTATTTTTATGCCAATTTTTTTCAATGTACAAAGAAGTGGCATTGAATTCAACAAATTTTGAAGTTGAAAGCCTGAAATACCATTTTCTAATCTTTGTTTAATGCGGTAGCTACCATTAATCCAGATGAGTCTCATAACCTGCACACGCATTTTGCATCCTCGTTTCCAATACAAACCAGCCACATGCATATATACAAAACCCAGCGGCCACAGAAAAACAAAAATAGCAGGAGGACCAACACGCAAATACTCACTTTAGCTCCATTCATGCTCACGGGCACACGCTCGCGCCGCTGGAAAGCACCCCTCCCTGGCTGTTTCTCTGAATGACAGGCTATCAGCGCGCTGCATAGCTGCAGCATTCCACAGGAAATGGGTGTCAGTAGTGCAGATAGCTGTGGGGCTCGGCTCTCACCCGCAGCCCTGAGATCAGGAGGGCAACCTGCGTCCCCCTCCTGCTCACTGTCAATCACAGCGGGGGGGATTTGGTTAAGAGTCAGTCAGAGGCCGGTTGCTCTCCTGACATACTAATGGTTGAGGTCAGCGATAAAGGTTGCACGCGGTGGTCCTAAATCAGGTCTTTTTGGGTAGCTTTACTTGAGGGTCAAAGTTAGGAGCCAACATTGGAAAGGTTAAGGACCCTCAGTTTGCCTGTCCCTCGTGGACACGTTTTTCCGCTTTTAATTCGTAGCATTACAAGCAGTCTTTTGGTATTATTTGTCATTTATAATCATTAAGATTGCAACTTTTGTTCTGTGGAAAATGGATGGCCATAACAAGCCGCCCGAAGGTGTTTGACATGGCCCAGGGGAAGGACGAGTGCTGTCTACTGTTGCGGCCTCTGGATTAGGGTTGGGGATCAGGGTCGTAGGGTTTGAGTGACGGGGGATAAGTGTGACATAGTGGTACATAAATGGAGTATTTTTCTTTCGGTTTTTGAAGAGACAGATGTGCATAAAGATGCAGGGCTGATAATGGCTCAGAGGAGGGAAAATTCCTGGTCATACTTGTCCAGTCTTGTCAAAAAAAAAAGAAAAAGGAATGGTGTCAAAAGTGTGGCCTTACACCATGTCATAACCAACTGCAGTGTGATAGTGTCAAGTGATGTGGCATGATACTTTTTGTCCTAACCAGCTTTGATTAGAGGTTTGAACAAATCTTTCTACCAATAATTGTTTTTCTAATTATTTTTTAATATAGGGTTTCCCAAAAAATGCATTTTGGTGGTCTCTAAAGACTAGTCTTAGTAAAAATTCTATAATGCCAAGGAATTTTTGTAGAATTTATTATAAATTTATAATAAATATATATATATTTATACTGAAAAAGTAAAAGGATTTCAAAATAATTCTGCATGTAGGCATGTATCGTACAGTTCAGAATAAAAAATTGTTGGTATTGGTCATTTTCTAGTCTCTCGCTTTATAATAAATCTCAAATATTTTTCATATTATTAAATGTCAGTTATCTGTTTGTCTGTGTTTTGTCACTTAATCTAGCATTTTGCAGTAGGACAGACTGACTTCGAAAAAGGCCTTTGAAAAACTCATCGTGTCGTGCTGGTTAGGATGAAGTATAATATAGGACTGAAAGTGAAAATTTGTGTGCATTTTATCCTAAGAAACAGCAGCCAATCACATGGCTTCTCACTTGTTTTATTCCACTACAGCAGGTTTGGATGTACTCAGTGTGTGATAAATGGAGCCCGTCATCATGTTTAAATTATATTTTCTAGACGAGCAGATGGGACTATTTGATGTCTAACAAAATGCTGCATAATCAACACCCGTTCCTGTGAGCCAGAGATTTGAAGCGAAGGAAATTAACTAGAATGAAACCGCAAAAAAAGGATAGATGAGAGAAAATGAGCAAGGTTTTAATAACAAAGAGAGAGGTGAGAGAAGACATCCCGTATCTGTTTTTGTTTTGGGATGCATCACTCTTCAAGATATTTCTGATGTATTTTAGGGATTTGTTCTTTTCTTCCTCCGTTTTGTTCTTTTTCTTCTCTGGTCTCCGTCTGTGTGTCTGTCAGCCTCTGTGATGATGACAGTGTAAAAATAGGACCGACGCCTGGTGAGCGTCTTTTGAAGCGGCGGTGTAGTGAAATGTTCTCTCCATCACATCTCTTCCCCTTCGATAAATCTCCATTGCGCGCCGTGACATCTCACCCAGCTCTGATGTGCTGTCCAAGTTTTACTAGCAGACTTGAGAGAGTGGAACAGCGTGTCACTGTGGAGCACAGGAGTGGGTTTTTAAGAGTTGTCCTGTGCAAATTTGCAGCCCGCAGATTAAACGGCAGAGTGAGAACTGCTCCCCGCTGCCATCACATGGTTCATTGATGTCACAATTAGCTGTGGAGGGAGGGTGGTTTCTACCGCTGCTTCTTCAAGAGAGCTGGATAAGGAGAGATCTGAACTTATATACTGCAGTCAAAAGGTCGTTCTTCACTATATGCACATGTACACAAACTCGCTCTTCTGGAAAAACAGACCAGGAATATTAATAGCTTACCCTGCACTAAGCTGATTTTTGGATTTTTATGATCATGAAAATCTAAATTTAGTCAAGTGTTGCTGAAGTTTTGGCTGATAATGTATGTTCAAAGGTTAGGGATGAGGAAAATTGTTCCATTTGATTTCATTTAATTTTGTTTGTAGTTAAATTTCAGATATATTTATGTATTGAAATTTAGCAGTAAACAAAATCTGTCATTAGATTTATCTGTATGATTCGTTGAATGATTGATTTGATTGATCTATAGAATTATTTATTCTATAAGTACCCAATAATTTGTGTATGTATTTTTTTAAATTTTATTTTATTTTAATCTATTTATCTATTTTTCGTTTACTTTTTTGTTTTCTCCCACTTTTAATCATATAACCAATTTTCAGAATAAGTTTTATATGCTTTAAGCATTTAATACCAAAAAAAGAATTTTTAGTATTTAACAAATATTTTTATGTAAGTTTTATATTTAGTGTGCGTGTGTGCGTGCGTGTGTGCGTGCGTGTGTGTGTGTGTGTGATAGAGATATAAAAATTGTCACATGACGTCATAACATTGCCTAAATATAGCATGTTGCATCCAGTTATCATATTGGAGATAAAAAGTAATTTTTCATGCCTAATTCAATTTTGTGTCTTCACAGTCCAATCAAATAACTAGTTAAATATGAGATGTTAAAAGTTGTGTCTGATATTACTTCTTCAAATTAGGAATATCGTATAAGGTCATGCACTGTGTTGTATACTGTACATTTTGCCGTTCATACAGGATATATTTGCATACTGTGCGCAGTATACCTAGTGCTGAAATATTGCATGTTATTAGCACAAGAACAGCAGCCGGTGTGGGAGGGTGACCAAAACCTCCACCGCAGACCATCTGAGCTCCCCACACCCAGCCTCGCCTTTCTAAAAGCAGTCCTGGCTCCGACGCCGCAGAAAACACTCCCACCTGCACGAGGCGTCCAAAAAATATTTGATAAGTCATCAAATTTATCATCCTTGCCTCCACACTGTCTGAAGAGGCTGCATTAATCCACGCCATTATCGTGGAGCATGATTCAGACCATTAATCATCTCGCTGCTCAAATGTGAAATCTTTACGACACCTCAGCGGCTGTGAGAGGCTCTCCTCATGCACAGCGAGCTCTCTGTGTGCTGTGGAAAGGTGTAGAATGGTTCGTGTGGTCGCCGCCTCCGAATCCAACCCCTCCTCCATCATAATTCTCAGCCTCCTGATGGATCTCAGCAGAGACTTCCTGCCTTTTCCCCTGTTAACTGTATGTCAGCGGACATGCATGCGTGTGAGCGTGTATTTGGGGTTTCTTATGTCAGCGCGAGTGTTATGGTGGGACTGGACTATGTTAGGTAGTCAGTAGTCGATAGCAGTACTAATGAAATTGCATAATTCTTGGTACCAATTTTGATGAACACATGCCTATATTTTAACCCATATGGTGCAGTGTAGCAACATATTTTCCTTCCATTTCTTACCTTACCCCAGAAAAA